ATTTCCCTTAATTTTTGAGAACCAAGGTATCAATCCAGTAGGAGGCCACGCTCAAGTCCCTCGTACCTGCACAAAATGATAGCTACTCGCAACCAATGCGATTAGGGGTTGTCAATCCCTTCACGGTCACTTACGAGAGTGAGATCTGATAGATATAATATTTTTGGTATTTTTGGTATAGAGATGCAAAGTAAAAAGTAAAAGCAAAGTAAAAAAGCAAAGCAAGATTAAAGTGATGGAGATTAATATGATGAGAATAGACCCGGGGGCCATAGGTTTCACTAGTGGCTTCTCTCAAGAGCATAAGTATTCTACGGTGGGTGAACAAATTACTGTTGAGAAATTGACAGAATTGAGCATAGTTATGAGAATATCTAGGCATGATCATGTATATAGGCATCACGTCCGTGACAAGTAGACCGAAACGATTCTGTATCTACTACTATTACTCCACTCATCGACCGCTATCTAGCATGCATCTAGAGTATTAAGTTAAAAACAGAGTAACGCCTTAAGCAAAATGACATGATGTAGAGAGATAAATTCATGCAATATGAAATAAACCCCATCTTGTTATCCTCGATGGCAACGATACAATACGTGTCTTGCTGCCCCTTCTGTCACTGGGAAAGGACACCGCAAGACCGAACCCAAAGCTAAGCACTTCTCCCATGGCAAGAACTACCAATCTAGTTGGCCAAACCAAACGGATAATTCGAAGAGACTTGCAAAGATAACCAATTATACATAAAAGAATTCAGAGAAGATTCAAATATTATTCATAGATAAACTTGATCATAAACCCATAATTCATCGGTCTCAACAAACACACCGCAAAAAGAAGATTACATCGAATAGATCTCCACAAGAGAGGGGAAGAACTTTGTATTGAGATCCAAAAACAGAGAAGAAGCCATCTAGCTACTAACTATGGACCCAAAGGTCTGAGGTAAACTACTCACACTTCATCGGAGGGGCTATGATGATGTAGAAGCCCTCCGTGATGACGGCCCTCTCCGGCGGAGCTCCCGAACAGGTCCCAAGATGGGATCTCGTGGATACAGAAAGTTGCGACGGTGGAATTAGGTTTTTGGCTCCTGTTCTGATCGTTTGGGGGTACGTAGGTATATATAGGAGGAAGGAGTACGTCAGTGGAGCACCGAGGGGCCCACGAGGCAGGGGGCGCGCCCTAGGGGGGGCGCCCCCCACCCTCGTGACCGCCTCTCTGATGCCTCGGCGTAGGGTCCAAGTCTCCTGGATCACGTTCGGTGAGAAAATCACGTTCCCGAAGGTTTCCTTCCGTTTGAACTCCGTTTGATATTCCGTTTCTTCGAAACACTGAAATAGACAAAAAACAGCAATTCTGGGCTGGGCCTCCGGTTAATAGGTTAGTCCCAAAAATAATATAAAAGTAGAAAATAAAGCCAAATATAGTCCAAAAAAGTAGATATTATAGCATGAAGCAATCAAAAATTATAGATACGTTGGAGACGTATCAGCGAGCGCCGCAATTTATAGGCGCACCCGAAGCGGTGTGCCAAATCTAGCGCGCGAGCTGCCGCCTTTTCCCCCCCGCGCGCAAGCGTTTCCCGCCGCCGCTGGAGCGCGCCAAAACCTCTCGCACGCGCTAAAAAGAAAATTTACCGCACGCGCATCTTTTGGCGCCGCTGCTAGAGATGCTCTAACAGCGAGTGCAGCACCCATGGCATCTCTCTCTTCCCTGGTCGCATGGCCTGCCCCGCTTGAGGCCCCTGGGTGCCCCCCCCCCCCACCCCCGGCAAGTCTCGATGGTCTCTGGATTTTTGTTCCTCCAAAAAAATCGACAAAAATAATTGGGATATTTTACACTGCAGAGACATCGATTTTCTGTAAAACCAGAAAGATACAGAAGAATAAAAACTGACTCCAGGCACCGAGTTAATAGGTTAGTTTAGAAAAATAATATAAATTGCTACAAAAATGGTACATGGATATGTTATGATAAAAGCATGATATAATTAAAAATTATAGATATGTTTGAGACGTATCCACCTTTGTCAAAGGATGATTCATCCATGATGGTATTTTTATCTCGCCATGAGAATATCCAGGGCATCCACTCTAGATGCAGTGAGTTAGTCATTCTCACTTGACTTCGAGAAGGCCTACGACTATGTGTGTTGGTCCTTCCTTCGGCAGGTCTTGACTATTAGGGGGTTTGATCCTGGTTGAGTCGCGCTATGCACATGACAAAATATGCACGATTCACACATGAAAATTAAATCCAGTTGTACAAACATTTACCTGAGAAGGGCACTAGCCGATTGATGTGCACGTCGTGCACAAGTCAGGCACAAGTATCGTCCAAGAAGCAGTTTCGATCCTGGTTATGTTCATCGAGCTATGTAGTTGGTCGAAGGTGGCCACATAATAATTCGCATAAATGGTGTTGTTGGCCCCTTCTTTGCAAATGATCATGACCTTCGCCAAGGCGATCACATATCTCCCCTTCCCTTTAGTTTTATGTTGATGCCTTTGCTTAGATTCTCTATTCCGCTGTGCCTACAGGCCACATCAAAGGGGTTGTGGGCCGGCTTAGCCGAAAATCCTATGCGACCTGGGTCGCACGCAGCGATTGTAAGACCCGCTCCAACAGTGGACACTTGGCGAAAACGAATCTCAAAGCACTTACGCCAATTTGTCCTCTGTTTCGTTAACAAATCTCGAATAGGATTTTCTTCTTGCGCTCGCTCGTTCCGGCGTTCGTCCGCCTCGGCTGCTCTCCCCGGCGTTCGTCGGCGCCCTGGAAGCTCGCTCTTGAGGCGCTTCTCTGGCTCGCTCACCGTGGCTACCACCCCTGCTGCTATCCCCCGCCGTCCACGATCGCGTTCCTCAGCGCCCTGACAGCTCGTTCTTTAGGCGTAGCTCAATCTCCACGTTGCATCGCTGCCCACAGATAGTCAGTCAACGGCTAAAATCCAGTTCCTCTGCTCCGTCCAGCTTCCCCACCATCCAAGTTCTCCATGCTGCATCTTGTCACCATGGTGCCGTGTCGCCGGCGATATGGAACAAACAGACGAGGAGCGTGGGAAACAGAGTGGGATGGAAGGAATGATTAGCTAATTAATCGGAATTTGAGAATTAATTGCATTGCATGCGTTTGAGAGGTTTTTGCCAAGTGTCCGCTGTTTGAGGGGGTCTCACGATCGCTGCATGCGACCCAGGTTGCATAGGATTTTCTTCCCTCATGGGTTACTCATCTTGAGTATGCCGACGATACATTTATCTTTGTAGAGAAGAATGATCTTCAACTTGCAAACCTCAAATTTCGTCTCCTACCGCATGAGGCCCTCCAAAACAACGCATGGATCATGAAGATCAAACCTCCTACCGGTCTATCCATTGAGCACATCCGACAGTTCTTCGCCCTTTGAAGTTTAGTGCATGGTGTACAACTTGATGAGAGTGCCGACGATGGCATTGTGTGAAAACATTCGACAAATGAGCTCTACTCCGCGGCCTCTGCCTACAAGGCGCAATTCCTTGGCATGACCTTCTCCTCTTTGGACCAAATGGTGTAGAAGGCTTGGGCGCCGCCAAAGGTCAAGTTCTTCGCATGGTTGGCTATTCAAGATCGCATTTGGACCGTCGATAGGTTGGACAAGCGGGGATGGATAAATTGTGGGCTCTGTCCTCTTTGCAAGAGAGTGCAAGAGTGTGGCGCGCACCTCTTTTTCAAGTGTCATTTCACATTGAGGCTTTGGGGCTTGGTCAAAGAGAAATTACGACTTGAGAACTTCGATGTCACCTCTTGGCACTTGGAAGGCTCCGTACAGAAGTGGTGGGAAAGTCGTGCCGGCGCGGGCACCACTCAGAGGAAGGCCATGGCTACGCTTACCATGTTTGTCTCCTGGACCGTAAGGAACGAAAGGAACGTAAGGGTCTTCCGCAACAAAAGCGCGCCACCAACCATTTTGCTCAACAACATCACGACGGAGGCAAATCTTTGGGTCACCGCCGGGGCTAAAAACCTAGGGTCACTTATGTCGCGAGAGTAATAATTCATGCCGTTGTTTTGGGTCGCTTGTAACAAACTCTATTCTATTCTTAATTAATAGATGAGGCAAATCTTTTGCCTCTGTTTCAAAAAAAAAACCGTCTCCTGTTCAGCCGTGTCTGACCTAAACATTAACATCTAAGTGTCAAAAATGTTTTATATTCTGATACAGAGGGAGTATAACAGTGAGGTGCTTGTTCTAGGCTGCCCTATCACTAACCTCCAGAACCGCGAATTCGGATCTTGTCCCTTCAAATTTTCCAATTTTTTCTTTGATCGCTTGAATCAGGACCCATGTTATTAATTTTTAGTTGTTTCTGCAGAGTGTTTTGTATTTACTTGGGGGTCAATTTTTCTTGCGGGGTCCAATTTTGAAGCATTATGTATTTACAGATGTGCTATGCATGTATCATGTATCGGAAATTCAATTCAGCTCCCGAGCCCAAAAGTAATTTTTGAAATGTCAAAAAAATTAAGATAAAGATTTTATTTGTTCTTAGTCACATCCAAATGCTACCTGAAAATTTTGAGGCAAAAAGGTTAACCATTTTGGCATGTGCAAGAAAAAAATGAACACCAAATGTCACCCCAAAATTGTTTTTTCACCGATGAAACACTGCTGCTCCATTTTGCATGAAAATTATCAAGCATGCTTACCACACTAACATGGACATCCACAAATTTTTTTTGAGAATTTTTTTTGTGTTACTGTTCACGCGAGAGCATGTGCTCTGTATACCTGTCTGTTGGGAAAATATGGTAGTCGACGCAACGCAAGGCATATATCGGTTCCGGCTATATATAACTAGTCGCGACCGACCGCTCTCACTCCCCGGCCGCTTGCCTAGCTAGTGCCTATACCTAGCCCGATCGCTCTCCTGCCCCTCCTCTCCTAGGCGTGGCGTTGCTTGATCGTTTCCCACTCCCACAAGAAGTAAACCTCGGCCGCTCTCTGACCAGGGTAATGGCGGACGGCGATGTGGCGCCGGCAGTGGCGGCCATGGCTGCGGCGGAGGCGAGGAGGAGGAGGAGGGACAAGGCGGAGCGGGTGGCGCTGCCGGCCGGCATGGTGCTGGTGCAGCTTCTGACGGTGGGCACCATGCTGCTGTCGACAAGAATTGTGAATCCCGCATTCATTCACTGGTACAGTTACAGGTAGATATACATGACGTGATCCCTACATGCAGGGCCACGATGGGATAGTGGCGATTGACCAGGACGCCCTACATTCTAGTATCTACTGTTACA